GTGTAGCAACACAGTCAGGTATGGAAAATGCTTATATGAGAGCCGCCTGAATGTTTATACACTTAAGATGCTAAATAGTCATGTGACCTGGAAGACATATTTTAAAACATATGTCCTACCTGTCTTTCTTGTAGGTCACTATGTCAGCGACGCCTTTCACGAGGAGGAAATGGGCTGGCTGTCGTTTAATGACCATCAGGTGAAGCGGTCAGATGAGGCATCGGTGCTGAAAACGAGGGCCAGCAGTGTGTATGTGCTGTTTTACAGCCAGCAGGTAACCAGAGAAACACCCAGCAGCCAAATGCAGACAGCGGACACCTTTCCTATACTCAGCTATACTCAGCTATACTCAGACACACAGTCACCTGCCTCATTGCAATATGTCAGACTGACCGAAATATAAGATTGAATGCTTTGTATTTTATGCTACACTATTAAAAGACTGTTGGCTGTACCACTTGATGCATATGTAATGTCAAATACGTGTTATACTGCAGGAATCCTGACACTAATGGTCCTGATGCCTCCATATGGAGGAGCTAACCTTAAAAATCAGGCAAACCCCGAGAATTCAGGTTTTGTCAAACCAAAGGAGGAGTCACATGGTACCAGTAACTGTCAAATTACAGGTACTGAAGGACATGGAGGAGGTCCAGAGGAGGAGGTCCAGAGGAGGAGGTTTACGGTGCACTGAATATCACCATCAGCTGGAGATAATGGACTTCAGTAATACTATAATACTCAGTAATGGACTTCAGTAATACTATAATACTCAGTAATGGACTTCAGTAATACTATAATACTCAGTAATGGACTTCAGTAATACAAAATACTATCCTGATGGGAAACATCTCCACCTGTTTTGTGTACAGCGCAATGCAGGACAGACATGCTCTCCAGAGAGTGGTGCGATCAGCCGCGCGCATCGTTATTAGAGAGCTTCCTCACCTGTAGTCTGTCTACATCAAACGGTGCTGAACTAAAGCCAGGAAGATCATGGAAGACCTCAGCCACCCCAATATTGGAGTCTTCTCCCTGCTGAGGTCAGGGAAGCGATTTTGTTCCCTAAAGGCCACACAGAGAGAATGAGGAGAAACTTCTTCCCTCAAGCTATTCGGTGTCTGAACCAGGACAATACGCAGGATGCGAGAGAGTGACAGTGATGGAATGACATCATCAACCCTTCAGGCTCATTTGCAGTATTTCAACATCCATTTTTTGGAAATTGCAGTTCACTGTCCTCCACAGGAGAGGGCGATGTTTGATCTCTGGTACTTTTTGCCTTGAGATTCCAGAGCTCAGGGTCTGGCAGCCCATTGGGAAGGTAATCAGGAAATCTGGAAGGCATTAGTGAACCTGCCAGTGGGAACAGTTGAAGCATTTGGGGGCGGGGTGGGCGGGGGGGGGGGGGTTATGGGGTTTAGTTGAAACAGAATGCTTGGCCCCACCCCATTCGCTCTAAGATTTGTCCCCTGCAGAACCCCCCAGTTCCATACCTTCCTCATTCTTTTTCTCCACAGAGAACTTATGGAGTGTTCTGGGTGGGTTCTCTGCATTTCAGGTATGGTTTGGCACAGCGTTCTCAGGCGCGCCTCAGTCTGAGCACATCGCAGCCAACTGCCTGCTGGGTTTATTGTGACCTGTAACCTTTCCCAGATAGCCCATCCTGTGGTAAAACACCATGCAGATTAATGGGTTCCCTGTTACAGGACAGTCCCCTAAGTGAAAATATTCATCTGCAGTAATGAGTCAAAGTTGGAGACCCTTAGCCTGCAACTGAAACAGGTGACCATCTACAGGCATCAGGCAAAAAGAGGGATAAAATGCACTGGAGATGATATTCAGATCAGTATCGTCACAGATCCGTACCTAACTAGATGGATCAGGTATCAGCTGTATGTGACCGCTTCACAGAATTGTTTTCATCAGTCTGTGAAAAGCTCCTATTTCTTGCTAAATCGATTTGTACAATCAACTGCATGACAGCTTTTTCTTATTTTTGTGGCATTCGAGCTGAATACCAACGCTGTCATTCAGTCTATTTGCCACTCAGTGTGTGTGAGTGCAGTGACTCCCGCCTGCTGTGATGTCACGCGCATACCCTTCGCAGTAGGGGGAGCATGAGAACATGAGATAAGAGAGTAACGATCTGGAAGTATTTTATGCTTGGAACAGCAACTAGTAGCACAGATAAGGTAAACCACGTGCAGCAACACACATTGCACACAGACACTGTGCTTTTAGTGTCGGTGATGGAGAGAACTAATCATTCAAAAGTATAATTACATTTCACTGGAGTCGATGTTGACAACACGCAAGTAACATGTCTTTTTGCAGGGTAATAACACAAGCAATCTGTGGAAACACTGAGGGAACGTCCATACCAGGGCTCGTACCAGGCATGTTATGTTTGCTGGTGGCCTGGAGCCCACACACGGTGTCAACTAGGTTATACGAATATGAATTAATGATTAAAAGTAACCATTAGCTGGCTGACTGTTAATAATAAATTATTCAGCATATATATGTATGTGTGTATTATGTATTATGTGTTTATTATGTCTTACAAAGTTAGGAAAACAGAATTTAATTCAAGTATTTAAGCCTGATGTTTCTGTAAACATGACAGAATAATCTCAGTCTCCTTCCCATAGTGTGACAAACAGCTTATCAATGAAATACTGGTATCGGATCAGTACTCGGGATCGGCGATACCCAAAATCCAGGTACTGGTATCGGTATCGGAACTGAACAATCTGATCGGTACATTGGTAGACTTGAGCCAACAACCTGCGGGAAACAAGTCAGTGTGCTATTGCTGGTGCCCTGAAGGCAGATCCACTGGCTTGGGATTGGACACGCAGGTGGAAACATCTTCCTGGCAAACTGAGTTCCTTGCACTAGTGGGCTGGTGTAGAACATCTGAGTGGGTTGAATAAGATGTAATGTATGTGTGACTGAAATGCATACAATGAAGGGAAGCCTTGATGGGAGGGGGGGCAGTTGGACCAAACTCCTAAGGCAACGAAGGAACAGGGCATTTCAGGCCGTGAGCCCCGCTTTGCCCGACGTGTGTCTGTGATAATCAGTGCAGGAAATCATTTACCCACAGTAGGCCTGAGACACTATCACCCCGCACAGACACATCTGCCGAATCCTGCAGGTCAGACAGGAACGGCATGGCTACCCACCCTTGGTTGTTCCCCAGGAACTTACAAGAAACATGAGGGTCTGGGGTGAAGGGAGCGAGACCCCATCTGGGGGCAGCTTTTGGCATAATGACCACGGTACCAAAGGAGGAGCATCCAGCCCAGGGCGTCACCCAGGGGAACAAATGCACTTTAAAAGATGGAAATATTTAGCCGAGTGCGGCTTGCAGGCTTAAAGACGTATGACATTAATTATTGTGAGTGAGACAGAGCAGTCAAGCAGATGAGGGGGTCAGGGGGTGATGTTTTAACTGGGGGGG